ATATATATATATATATATATATATATTCATCAGTGAAATTCAGGAGTGAGCAAGGAATTTATTGTAATTTATCTTAATTGAGCCTCGAAAGCTCTATTCTGGTAATATAATGTTAGGAAAATGTAAATTGAGGTTGCTGGAAATATCAGCCCTTTCAATCTATAAGTATTTAAGCAATGAAGCTCATCAGCTTTATTGAAACCATGCACTTTCATACATATTGTGATATTGGCCAAATAAAAAGTTCAGCTTCGTGAACAGTAACAAATAAGAGATGTTTTCAAGAATAGACGACAATTCTAAACATTAAGAGATTCCACATACATTAGGAAATGCTAATTTTAAGAACACTATCATTGACGCACAATGGCGAAAGCTTTTACATAAACTTCAGAGATTCATCATTCCATTTTAGAGTCGTTGGCATATAACATTCAGCTAAAACACCTAGGTTTTTTTGGCTTTAAGATGCTGAAGGGGTTGTAATGGGAAATACGTTTGATCTCATAATTGTTAGCACAACAGACCTGATTTGGTCACCCAAAAATTATGTCTTCTGAAACCAGTAATTCTATGAAACTCATTTAAGAAAATTTACTAAAAGAATCCTTTGTAAATTGAAGGAAATTTACACTGATTAAATCGCATGACACAATTAGATAATGACCACTCAGGTTCTAAAAAATGATTACTCTATGCATTGCCCAATATATTATGTTTCTAAATTTTATTTCTTATTCAACAATATTGAGACACATGGGTTCTCGTAGTACAAACACTATCATTTCATTTCAATGAACAGTCTCAAAATTATTGAAAAAGTATAGGCGTTTTTAATTAACTTGCATATGTCAAAGACAAAGCCAAATGATGAAGTTTCAATTCCTCTTAATTCACAAATCGTAATGAGTACTACAGTCGGCTTGGAAAAAAGCTTTTCAAGTCTGCAATTCGGCAGTTAGTCTGGAGTGCATAAACTGGTAATACAAAGTTAAGGATACATCTTAAAGCTGGTATTGATTACTTCCATGGACTGAAAATACCGATGCTGTGCAATGGAATGGAAAAGGGCTCACAAAATCATCGAATCAGGAGAAATCGGAGAGGAATTTAAAATATGAATAAGTTTATATTTACCTAAATTATGCAAATGCTGGATTTTAATGCCAGAAGAATTGAATAAATGGAATAATTCTAAATACCCATAATGGAATGTTACAAAATCTTGCCAATCTAAGGCAATCGTCGAAGCTTGAGAATGCATAACAGTTACAGATTGTACTCAAGCACTCAATTTCATGCATAATTGAAGTTGAAAGTGCCTCTCTATCGAATGGCTTGTGTTTTTCCGTGTTCAGCGGCAATCTTCTTTCAAATCCTTAAATACTTCTTTTCTTTATTTATGAATCAACAGAGGTTGGATGTTTTACTCCGGCCACTTCTATCACCATTCGGGTTTCTTAAATGTGGCTCAAATTATATCATTGAAATAATTCTTTGACATTTTCATAGCCTGTTCAGTTGCTCACTTTTGAGAGCAACTACTCTCGAAAATGGAAGGAAGAATAGCTCCTTAAACATGAAATTTTAGTGTTTTGAAAGGAAATGTACTTATAAGGAATTAGATAGGTGATAAATGATCGGTTGTCAGTTTGATCAATGTTAGCAGCGATTGAATTCCTTAACCAAAGCCTGAACGTAAAAGTTTAAAGGTCGATAGTTCAATACATCAGGAAAGAGCTTAGGAATCGACCAAATAGACTCTTAGAGAACTCGATCGAAAACACCGCAAATTTTTGCACAGATCAATGACTTGTTTTCTTACCGCGTTTAAGTGTTATGCACACTTTATTAAACAAAGACAAGAAACAGTCGTTAGAAGTAAATATCTACTCCTTATTTATGAAAACTAATCAGTATTAAAGTCCACTATTTCAAAGAATTTTGCCTTCAGAACAAAAGAAATAGCAAAATGGAAATAAATTGAATACCTACCGTTTTGCTACAATCCGGGAGTCTTCTAGAGAAATGTTAATTTTCAAACTTGAACTTCGTATTTACCAACTATTCCTCATCCCTAGTCGTAAAATCAAAATAATTTAAATTTCAACATTGCCCTCTATATCTTTGTGTCAATCTCTCTGTGTCAATCAAAAGTCACTAAACCTGAATGACTAATCCAGCACCGCATACCTACTGAACCCTCGGCGAAAAAAAACGAATAACTACAATTTCTAGGATTCGATAGTGTTAACTACGTCTTATATTGTTCAGGAACAAGCTTTTATTCAATGCTTTATTTCAAGGCACATTTATAAATATAAAAATGAAAGTAAGACGACGAAGGCTTTTCTGGTACGACACACCATCTCTAACCATGTCCCTTAGTAAGAGTTACTTAGGAAAAACCAAGTTTTATGGCAACTAAAGAGAACTGATTCGTATTCCATGCCCTAGATAAATAGCATATCTTGGAGTAAGTAAAATTTCTGTTACAAAATAGCAAGATAAGGGAGGACATTGTAGACAGAACTTCGTTCAGAAACAAATTTTGCTAATTTTGGAATCATACATGACCCCTACACTACAACTTTGCTAAATATCCACCCGAACCTCTTCCACGGTCAACAATTTTAGTTCCTTATTTATATGGTGAATTATGATGCTTGATTAAGCCAAGTAATTGTATTTCGTGGAGTTTGAGAAAGTAAAAACGAAATTAAAATTTCAAAGGAAATATCATATTCGCTGCTTTCTACACGCGTCTCAGTGCAAATAGACTAATATTTGAAGGCGAAGTAATACTCGGACGTAAATGGGAAACGCAATTACACCTCACCGTCACGCCACCTCTACGTCACTTTCGTAAGATGCATGACAAGGTCAATTACATTCATCGATTGATCCGTTTTCTGACCAATAATATGATAGGGACAAAGCTAACTGCATAACTAGCCTATTAATTCAATTAATTTTTAAAATTAATCTTGCCTGAGTTAAATCTCCCTCCCGACTCCGTTAATTCTAAGTAGCTATAAAATACATCAAAGCGTTTATCTCTATCATCACATAATAACACATGACAGATATAGGAAGACATGCAAAAACCACCAATTAAACTAGTTTAAGTTTGTTTACAACTTCATCAGCAAAAATTACAGACATTGACAAGTTTAAATTAAAAGAGAACTATGAGTTCAATTCCAGAATAAAAGTACAGAGATGACATAAGGTTAAACCTCAGTGTTGAGCAAACCACCTTTTGAATGTCAACTCATATGATTTATGGCTCCTTGGGAAAAAAACGCCTTAAGTGAAATCAAGTTCGTTTCACTAATACTTGAGCTTAAATTGAGAATACTAGTTACCATAAATTTAATCACCCATAGTTCACAATGATTTTCAATTTCTATTTGAAACAAATCTTATTTATTAAGTACAAATTTTTAGTTATGAATTTGATAATTATCTTCCTTTATTGAAATGGAAAATCTTACGTTAATAATTTGTTGTTCCAGGAGTTTATTAAGCAAGATGGCAAATAAAATTGTCAAATTTATTAGGAGAAATTGCCAATCCAGTTTTTCTATCCCTATTGGTTAATTGACAAAAGGTTAACTTGATTTAATACAGTGTAGTGAAGTCTAATTTTTTACCCTTCTTTAGATCTTGCAACAAAACAGAGCTGAAATAACATCTGCCACACTCGAATTACTTTTAAGCCAAGCTTGAAAAAAAGGCAAATGATCGAAAACGAGGATGCAATAGTAATTTTTTCATCGAAAGACATCGATATAACAGGGGGCATAGTCGAACACCATCTTTTTCTACACCTGTCTACCTTCTCACTACAATGCTGGCAATCATTAAATTTTCACTAGAAAAGTGGAGGAGAACACAGAAAAAAGAGTGTGTCAAACAAAGGAGGCAGAAGGTGGTAGCAATAGCGGCCACTTACTCCAAAAGCAACAAGAAAAGCGAAATCAAGTTTGCAATAGTGAGAAGAAATACAGAGGCAAAAACAGGGTCATAAGAGGTCAGCAAATCAATAAGATTTGTGGGTGAGTTGTGATGGGTTAGAGGTGATATTTCAGTGATGGCAGCTCCAAATTTAAGCGAGTGGGATAAGTTTGAGGCATTGCTGGGATTAAGTGCATTTGGCCACGATTTGGTGGGCCAATGTTGTAAGCATCTCAACTTACATCCTCATCGTTCCATTCGTGACTTCCTGAGCTCGAACCATGAGCTCCTTGATCACCACTCTCTTGAACTGTATCATCCCCGTCAGTGTCTGTTCGTCCTGAATAAGATGGAGGAGAAGATGAAAAGTCTCTTTGATATGGCCTATGTGAGCTGCCGCTAAGACCGTTGTTAGGCCGACGTCGGTTAACAGCAGCTGCTGTTCCACTGGCACTGGTCGGACCTACAGCTTCACGATGGAGTCGGCGTTTTTGATATCGACGATGATTAGGCTGAGAAGAGACCTCAATTGGTTCACCGGATGTCGCTGCAAGGTAACTTCTAGACGGTCGCATTCGACGCAACATGAAACAGACCGTTGCTTTAGCTGAATCAGTAAAAAACCTTGCATTAACCAATGTCAGTTCTCTGTTTGAAATTATTTCACAAAAGTATCCCTTCTCATAGGCAATTTATTCGAAACATTAATTAAATATTCTTTTGCATAACAAAATTGTTCAATTTAGCATTTATTATAAAATTGGCATTGAAACCTCTTCTTTATTCCGATGATTTAAACAACTTCTCGTTGATCTAGCTTTTAATGCTGAAAAGGTCTTAAGGTTTATACATTTAACCAAAGTAATCTTTATGAGTGATTTTACATCCATGAAAACTTTGCGCATATTTTAGCTTTTGATATTATTCTTCCCATTTTATTAAAGGAAGCTAAAAAATTATTTCGTTCCACTATATCAATCCAAGTATCCTTATTAAAAAAACTAAATATTTATTCAGTCTGCTAAAAATAAATTTCGCGTGAAATATTTTATTGAGCCATTAATAATCAAATCTACTACATAATTATATCATATACTAAAGAGATTGTCCATGATGTTAACAACGTACTTTGCATAGAAATAATCAACCAATGGACAAATTCGATCACATGAAATAAATTTTCCAGTTGATTTAGGTATTTACCAAGAATGATTCTGTATAAACTTTACTACTTATTACAATTCAATAGCAAGTGAAAGCTAACCTCTAATTCGATCTACGACTTCCTGATGGTCCATTTCTTCCACGTTGACTCCGTTGACCTAAATTATGGAGTCGTTTTAAAAGAAATAAAAGCGGTGTCATTTACAAATATTTATAAAACATTATCTAATGAGACTTTCATGAATAAACCCTAATGTCAATTAAAATGGCCCTTTGGGGAAAGTTAAATGGAATGAGGTTACACATAGTACATCTTCTTAGACTTACCTTAACGATTTCGTCTCCAGGTCTTAAACCAGCTCGTTCGGCAGTTCCACCTGAAATAAAACAAATTTTACATTTAATAATTTAAAATTGAAGTAAAAGTCTTTATAACTTTAGAAATGGTCAAGTTCTAACGAGAGGTTTCAATTTAAATTTATTACCCTTAATTTTGACTTGAAGTTAGTATAGAGCAGTAAGCTCCATACACTCATGGTGCGCAACTTTTAAAATTATGGGGTGTGAGATAGACTTACCTCCTCGTGGTGCACCGTGGGCAACGTATAATCATACGGCAAAAAAGTCTATTAACCGGCAGTTGACTTCTCACTTCAAACTACCATCACCCCCACTGTGTCATATTCGACCCCTACCACAGTACTCATCTTACCCTTTCTGAGCCTTGGTGTTTGTCTGTTTCTTTTACATTTGTGAATCACTCTTCTGTTCTCCCTCTCGAATTCTTCTCATTTCGATGTTCCTCCTCCCCTCTGTGAAACCCGAAGTCAACTAAATGGCTAATGATAACTATCAAAACGCCTGCCATTTGTTATAAATACTTTTAAAATTATAGCCATCCCTTCTCTTCTTGGTATGGCCATGTCGGACCATTTCGCCTTCTCAACCTTGAGAAGATAACTTTCAAAGAACCGCTGATACTGGCCCTACTTGATTAAAAGAGTCTAGTGAACGCATAAAAATTGTTAATAAGCATTCCAAGAACGAATCGCCACGTGTAAGTTTTGCAAATGTTGTACATACTACCCAACCTGAACACCAAAACACGGTTGAAGTGAGACGCGCTTTGATATCTTGACATGCCTCTTGACAGATTTTTGATCCAATCAACATTGCCATTTACTGCACCTTTCGTTAACGGATGTCAGTAGTGTGCCATAATAAGAAAAACAAAAATAATCGTCTTGATGGTAGCAATAATAACAAATAAGTGAAAAATGACTTCTGTGACTTAAAATATTCATTTTTTCTCAAAGGCATAAACTATCGTCTTCAAATTATCTAAAAGAGCTTTTGGAATTAATAATGCGTTATCAAGTGGTCTCATAGTTAATGAAGGACAATTTCAGTGGCTACTTGTGACATAAGATTTAAAATTCAATCTGAGAAATGGGGCATAATGATTTCTAAGGTGAAATTCTGAGAGGGTCTAACCCAAATCCGTATAAGTTCCAGTTACGAGAACACCCGGCATTGAAAACGATTGGTAGATGAAGCGTACCAATTAGATAGACACGGTATGACAAATAAGGAAGGAAAATTAGTAAAAAAGCTAATAAAGTTTCGGATGAAACGCGATGTCTAAAGTTTGGACAGAAATAGTGAGGGCAGGTCAAGGCAAAATGTCAGCCATTCGTGTTTAACTAAAACTACATAGCTTTTTGCTTCGTGGCTTAAGTTAAAATTTTTATTTATGATCTTAATATTCAGGTCTGCTTTGATTTGGGCTTTAAACAAGACTGATTGGCATGGCTTCAGTTCTCTCCTAGCATTGGAACAATACTTGTTTAAAATGAGTTAGCCAATAAGAACTCATCACGGTTCAATCAAAGGTGAGCTGTGTGCTATCTTTGCTTGTTTACTTAATAAAAGATGAATACCATAATTTAATTTAGAAACCGACGTTCTGACAGACCACATCATAAAACGGTTATTTATTGTAAAACGTTAGATATACAAAGATAAAATTTGAATGCACTTTTGTAAATCTGATAATCAACCCATTTTCTGGAATTTAATTTAGTGCAAAAGTGGTGTGCGATAAACTTACCTCCACTTGGTGCACCCTGGGCAACGCATATTCATACGACAAAAAATCGATTAATAGGCAGTTGACTTCTGACTTCAAACTACCCAGACCCCACCGCATTTCATATTCGACAAATTCCACAGAAATCACATCACCTTTTTTCTACCTTTGTGTCTGTCTGTCTCTTTTACGTCTGTGAATCATTATTCTGCCCCCCTCTCGATATTTTGGCACTTTGGTGTTCCTCCTCCTCTCTGTGAAGCCCGAAGTCAGCTAGAGGGTCAATGTTAGCTATCAAAACACCTGCTATTTGAAATAAATAAATTTAGTGCAAAATAATATTTAATGCTTATTTTAA